AGGTGATCTAATTTACTCCATGATTAGATACGTAACATCCGTACATATAAAGTGAAGTTAGTTAGGTGGTACATAAACGTTTTGATAAACGACTTTTGTTGATATTAGTCGAGAGGCAAATGTGTACGAGGATTATAGAAATACCTAGCATAGCAACCGACTACAAGTTTCAAAATTAATTGACACATTTTGAGTATTGCATAGATATTTCAAATGGCTGCTACACACAGTGCCGGCGGCAGGGCCGCCGGGCAAGCCGTCGGCTAAGCCTCGTACACCCGGCGGCATACAAAGCCGCCGGGCTTGCCGCGCAAAGAAGCCGCCGGCACTGCCGCCGGGGTGTGCCGGCGGGTTACGCAGCTTGCCGGCGTCACTTCGTTCCTGGCATTCGAGCGGTAGTGTTGTGCGGTTTGTGTGTTTAAACAAATTAAAATGTCGTTTAATTGGGACGACAAGCTGTGTTGCTCTTAATTGAAAAATTTCATGAAAATGATATATTATGGAATCCCAGAAATGCAGACTATAAGATTAGGAACAATCGAATAATTGCGTGTATTTGACATTGATAAAGGCGAAGTAGAGAGAAAGTTAAAAAATGTAACCTCTCATTATTTTCGGGAAAAAAGAAGTTCGAACAGTTGCACAAATCTGGTGCAGGCATAGACGATGTACAGAAACCCAAAAAACATGCTATTGTGCAAACGCTGACTTCTCGTCCTTTTGTATTTTTTTCTTATTAAAATAAAAATTACAACTGCGGCGGCTGCGCTGACGATTTCCTTACTCATTTTAATTAACCAACCATAAAATATGTACTTCACTAGCGTTCTATGTGACTGTCACAACCGGAATGATGCTAGGCCAATTCATCCCACTAATACTCAGTAGGAGACAAATCTGGGGACTGGGAAGGCCACGTCGTGATTTTTATTGCACCAAGTTCTTGCTGCAGTTCCAAATAATTGCGGCATAGTCGAGATGAATGCGTAGAGTCGTTGTCTCGCTGAAACTCGAAATTGTTCCCAACAATCCTTTGTCCTGAGGGAACCGCATGGTTTTCCAAATATTGCTCTTTTCGCATTTTACCCTCAATACGAACCAAATCTCCTCTTTGATTTCCAGCAAAACATCCCCAAACCATTACACTCCACCTCCATACTTTACAGTGGGCTTCAAACATTGCGGAGTCATGCATTCATGGGGTTCGCGGCGTACAAACTGTCGTCGTCGAGATCCGAACATTTCAAATTTGGATTCATCCCACCAAAGGACTTGATTCCAATCTTCAATGGTCGAATCCTTGTGTTCTGCGTGCTGCTACACATACTCTAAGGTTAGGCCTTTGTAAACGGCATTTTACTGTAGACACGGACACACTGCTTTCCCTCGTTCTATTCAAGCTGTGGGTGAATTCAGGCACAGCTAAATGTCCATTTCGTTTACTTGTTATTACTATAAGCCTATCCCCAGGAATAGTTGTAACTCTGCGTCTTCCAGGGCATGGACGATCGCTCTAATTGGCAATCCCTCATCACGTAAGGTACACACTGCACCGCGTTTTTCAAGATAAACGGTACCCGTCTTTACCATTTTCGGTTATTTTGAAAAAATCTGACCCTAGCACATCGACAAGTAGTTTATACTAAACTACGTACAATGTTTACTTTGTTTCATCGATATCCAGAATGTTTATGTATCATATTAAGCCGAACATAATACATAGTACCAAAAAAAGTAAAAAGCGGCAGGAATGCGGCCGATCTATCACTGGAATGAAGTAATAAAAATATCGGCGTCTCTAAAGGAGTTTACATTTATTTCCTTTTAAGTGGTGTTTCACTGATTCTTATACATCTTTAGCTTGAATAGTCGTATTATAGATGGTAATAATCAATCAATGTCATATATGCCTTATTTATTTTAAGTTCCCTTGAAAAAAGTTACTGTCCCAAAATATTTGAGCGGTAGTGTATATCCAGAGATTACGAAAGATGGATCACCACGCAATGGAATGGTCTACCCCATAAATGGCATAATTTATGTTCTGGACAATGTTTATGACGTACTTCCAACACGATTTCTACAGCAACCGGTAAGAGATATCGTTCAACTTTGTAACGGTATGACAAAAGTATGGATATCTACCATTTTCAGAATTACAAGGAAAAACATAATGAGTTCGGTGGTAGCAAAAAAGTAAAAACAGGGACATAAACGAGTGATTTTAAGGTGATTGATCACGCTTTTTTATATTGTTTACTGAGGCCGCTAATTAGATTTTTGTGATGGTCTGTGATGGTTCATGCTTTAATAATGCTACCATTAAGGTTTCACACACTTTATTAAAAAAATTAAGATTTTTTTTTGTCAATTTTTTTGAATCTTATTTCCATATTTTCTCGAAAAATATCAACGCGACCGAGTTGAAATTTCGTGTCCACATTAAATTGAAGTACGTATCTCATGAGCCAATTACATTTAAAAAAGTTGTATTTTTTGACAATATTATCTAATAACTTTCCTACCTAACTTTTTTATTACATCTTGGATGGCTCATGATATGTAGACAATGATATCCTGTCGATATGTGGAAACATTTTCAAGATTGCTTAAAAATGAACGAGATAATATGGAAATACGATGAAAAAATCTATTCGACTACTCTCTCCACTAACTCCACCCACTTTCCGGAGCCAAGGTGTCGCAGTAATCAGCCTGGTTATCAGATTGTGATTTGTTTCTTTCTTATTATATTTCATTTTTCATAAAATACCAGATTCTTTTATTTTGGTGTATTTAATACTATCAATTTATTGTTACCAATATTTACAAGTTTCTCGCATTTACCTTCCAAAACGCAACTGATTCCCTAGCAATAATGTATTCATTCCAGGAAGCAGGACGTAAATAATAAATTCCAAGATTTTTTGCGTAAAGGAAAAGGTTATTGTTTGCTTTCCTTTATTCTTTTATTTACTTTGGAGGTTATTTTTATTTACGTGTACTTTGATACTGAACATGCCAAAGGTACGTGTGTGTGTGACCGTCGAAGGTGCGTAAACACATTTTTCATAGAAATTGCAAGCTTTCAAAACGGATTAGAGGAGCATCGATTATGCTAAGATAAGCCGGAGTTTTTCAGTTCAACTGTCTTGTATAATTGCACTTATTATGCCTTTGTCGTCTCGATAAGGGCGTTATCCTAATATTTTATGTGAGTGCGAATGTAACTACTCCTTAAGCTCCCCATGATGACTGCCACAGTCATACTGGAAGCTGACGTTGGCGGAATGGATGTGGAAGTCGATGCAAATTTCAAACAATCTCGGGTGTTTTGCGTGGTCGACGGATCGCCAACCTTGGTCATCTGTTGACAGAATATAATTCTGTTCTGCAACATTATAAGAAATATAGCATGAGCAGAATTGATCTAGATGACGAATCCCAAAATGGACACCTGACAATTGCAACAAAGCTGTTGTAATACAATCTCCGTGCAAACTATCAACAGCGCTACTGTGTGGAGAGTAGTTACAACCGGTGTTGGGTACAGCCAATATAAGGAGCTCATGGACATTTTGGACATATGTAACTCCAATGGCTCCTCGGACATTCCCCATAAAGACAACTTTCCCAACGTAAGTGTGCAGCATCTATTTCGGATTTTGACATATGAAACATTTCAAAATTATTTTGCTGTATGGTATAATTAGGATTGTATAAGAAAACCCCAGTTGACGGGTACGAATATACTGTACTTTTCAAAAAGGCCCTTCCTGCATATTTTTTTGAACGAATCTACTTGGCAAGCTAAAATTTGGTGCTTTGGAATTGATACGTAAAGGTTAAAGCATTTGTCAGTAGAATCGAGGACCATGATAAACCTCATTCTGATTACTTCATAATCCTAAAATATAAAATTTATATTTCAAAATGCCGAACGGCAGGCTATCAAAGTTGAGTGTTTTCGAACCTTGAATCACTTATATCTCAGCAAACAATCACATGACTGTCACTATGATAATTACTATTATCATTGTAGTATAGACAATATCAATAAAAACTATTATCATTGATTACATATTTACGCAATCTTGGTGATATGGTGAAGATGTGCTGTGATGGATTTTTGTCGTTCTGGTAATAATCTCTAAACAATAATAATAATGAAAACTATTCTTATTTATCACATATTTAGACAAGTTTGTAAAATCCGCGATATTTCCGATACATTATACATTCTATCATATAGAAGATACCATTATAAGTACAGGGTGTCTGCGAAAGGTTGGGAAATCTCGAAACTGGAGATACTACAGACCAAAATATGTGAACTGACCTAAACATACCTTAGTCCAAAAGTTGATAGTTTGCGAGATACAGGGTTTAAGGCCCGTATCGTCAGTCGTCCCTACAATTGTAGGGCGCCTTTATGACCTTCTTGATTGTCATAGTTTTCTGCTTCTCCGTGTCAGCGCTCTATTTTGAGGTTATGTCACAAACACCTATTTGAATCAAATTGTGCTTGCTTTTGAGTTAAATCATGTCTTATCCGCCTGAAATTTCCTACAATTTAAAAAGAAAACATATCTTCACAATAGGAGAGCGCTGACGCTGACACAGGACAAGTGTAATCTAGAAATTTTTGAAGGAGAGAAAGGAGTATGACAATCAAGGAGGCCATATACGAGTATATATATATATATATATATATGCGATAAACAGGTTACAATGACAATAAGAGTTTTGATCGTGGCAACCACTATCCTTAGGCCCGTATCGTCAGTCGTCCCTACAATTGTAGGGCGCGTTTATGGCCTCCTTGATTGTCATACTCCTTTCTCTCCTTCAAAAATTTCTAGATTACACTTGTTCCGTGTCAGCTTCAGCGTTCTCCTATTGTGAAGATATGTTTTCCTTTTAAATTGTAGGAAATTTCAGGCTGATAAAACATGATAGTAGTAGAACAACATCGATTCTAACTCACTTGGTAACCCATCCATCAGGTTCTGTTCTGTTTGCCCTCTATTTGACTTTGGGTATCTGAAGACTTTGCAGACATGCAAGAAGTGTATCGCCTATGACCAGAGGGTGAGATGTGCCAAAACGTGGCGTCATGTATGCAGAAAAAAGGCCAAAGACCACGTGACCCACAAAATGAGTAGTGATTGAGAAAAGCTTTATGCATATGCAAGAGACAAGCCTCGCCTAGCCAAGCCTAATTTTATCATCCTCTAGTCATAATAATAATACCAATAATAATAATATGGGAAGAGAAATAAATGAAACGACGGCGGTAGTGTGATATTGTATTTATTCCAATTTTTGGTTTGAAGCATTAGATATAAGATTCCAATTAAATAATAAATGAACATTTTCTAAAGCACAATGCATATTATTATACAAATGTTTATAACAATGTTTGTACTGGAATATCTTCTTCAGCTTGCGAAGATTTGGGCATCCTATTTCATGTAGATCGGTGATGTTATTAGTGATGAATCTTTCCAACCATTGTTGGTTTGAGCGTGCCTTGACAAAAATTGGTTCATCGTGGACATTTTCTTTAATGAACAATGTCAATTGTTCGTAATGAAGACATGACTCTTCAGAAGGAGATAGATCCCTAGGAATTCCATGTAAATTGTTTACAGTCCAGTTGATATGTGACTGTGTGCTACTGTTGAGCATTGTAAATTCTACAGGTAGATTAACTAATTTTTTTTGCCAGTATCCCGTTGCAGTATCCATGATAGCAATTTCTTTGCAAATGAAGTTGGATCCACAAGTAAAGCCTTGAACGTCGATAATGATCATTTTTTTTGTTCGTTGAATGTCTAATGCAAACGCTACACAAGAAGACTGTATATGAACTGAGATTATTTGTTAGGTAATATTCTTTTTATGTATCCAGCTGTCATGTTTCTTATCGAATCCCAACCATCTGACTTTGATATGGTCTCCTTTTTTTCCAATATTTTTTTTATAAGATAAACATCAGGATGTTTTACCTTTTGCAGTTGTTCTGTATAAAAGCCTCCTAAAATATGTTGATTTTTTTCATCTTTCAACAAATATGTAATTGGATTAGTTAATGTTACTTGCCGTATTGTGAAAATTTCAGGTGACCAATTTGGCTGATATTTCTTATCAAAAACACCTCTTATTTTAGAAGTGCGTACATAATCACCTACTTTGAATTTTGTTTTCAAGTTTACAATTTTCAAGCGATTATATACAGTAGATAACAGTCTTCTTGCATCCTTTTTGTGACATCAGCTGGTTTCATTTGAATAGTTCTATGCTTCTTATTGTTATATTGTTCTACCAGTTTTGGTAAAATACTTATCCATTTATAATTTCCCTGCAGACTAAACCCTTTCCACATCATATTTTTTAAAGTTCGATTAACTCTTTCGACAATGGCTGCCTTCTTTTCGCTGAATGTATTGTAGTGATTGATATTATATTTCTTCATTAGGTTTTTAAAATCATTATTGAAAAATTCCAATCCAGCGTCTGTTTGTAGATTCTTAGGTGTTTCTTGTTTTAGTATACTTTCCATAGCTTTTGTTACCACTTTACCTGTTTTATTTTGTAAAGGTAAAGCCCAAACAAATTTCGAAAAACAATTTATCACAACCAGTATATATTTATTGTTTTTATTTTCCCTCGAGTATGGTATCATTTCTACAAGATCTGCTTGGAAAAGGTCGTCTAGAGATTTCACATTGGTTTTTCTTCTTTGGAAATTTCTGCGTGCAGGCTTATGTAGTTCTTCAACAACTTGACGTTTTATGACGTTTCAGACAGAGCTTTAGGAGTTTCCCATGCTACCCTTTCATTAGATGCGAATAGTTTTGTTTCAGGCATTGGTTGGTGGTGGTGAGGAACCAGGTACCGTGTTGGTATTATTTTGAAGTTTAGATTCGATACTTCTCAAATGTTTTGTAATGGGATTGTACAAGGCTTCTTGTAACATTTCTCCATGTTTCAGTTGATACAATTTTCTTCGAACATTTTGACGCTTCAATATAAGTCTTTCTTTGAGACTACTTCCAGTTAGAAGTTTTCCCATTATCTTCAGTCTATCATGAGGTGCTAATTAGACTTCGATCAGGTGGTGAACGGCTTGTGATCAGGTGATGATCAGGTTTTCATCATCAGTTGTCGATCTGTTCTGAAAGCATCGGATGAGAATTATCCATATAAATAAAATGATCTATATCGACCGTTGTCAATGTTACAGTCTTTAAATATGGCTAAAAAATCATATGAATTTTCCCAACATACAGTGCATATACGTTTAAAATTATCAAATGACAGATCTGAACCAACATGATCATTATATATATATATATATGTTTTAAGTTTAAATCATCCTGTTTGAAAAGTATAAGGATATTTGCATTATCCCTTATTAGATGTTTGGGTATTTTTGCATATGTTTGACACAAGTAGAAAGAATCTATACTGTTATGACGTCCCATACTGAAATATTCTCTGATAACATCTTGATTATCGCATGCGACATCATCAAAAATAAATATGGAATTTGGTTTGGCATCTGAAGGGTGTACAATGTTGTCACTAGCATTGAATGGAAAATATTTTATCCCTTTTATTGGTGTTAATAATTCTGCCAAATATTTATATTTTAGTTGATACAAAGACTTTGAATACACATAAACATTTTCAAATTTTAACCCGTTTTCATGTTCAACCAAATTGATCATAAGATTTGTTTTTCCACAATTAGAAGGTCCAACTATAATACATCGCAACGTTGAAGGAAACAGCACGGCATGTTTTTTGATAGACTTATCTTTGATTACATCATTGTCATCAATATCTAATGTTGTTTTTTGTTTAACAATTTTCATGTTGTTCAAATAGTACTGCACTGCAGCAACAATGAAACTGATTACAGCGCGTGAATGTATTCATTTTGCAAACCATCTCTCTCTCTCTCTCTCTAAATGATGATGATGATGATGAAAAGTGAGGGAAGGGGAGAAATAAAGAAAGAAAGAGGATATCTTTTTGAAAACGTATTTATTGTTTCATGTTTTACCCAATATGTTCTTTTTTCTTGGATGTCGGGTCTCGCTTGAAAGCATACAGGACAAAATCTGACAAATACATTATGTGGTTTCCAGCCATTTACGGCGGTCGTTGGTCGTTCACGTATAATGTTTCCACATACACCACATCTGGTCACCTCGATGACGTGTGCTACAACGTATGTCCAACTTGTCTTTCTTTGGGGTCCTTTGCTCGAATAAAAAGATTTGCCAGAAATCCATCCGCTCTCTCGCCGCTCAGACATCCTTTCTCGTCCTTTGTCGTTGTTGTTGTTGGTATTTAAGACTTGGGCAGTTCTTCGTCGCAATACAGCTCCACTTTTTCGTATTGTTGTTGTTGTTGTTGTTGTTGTTGCTGATCTGATAGCGTTTGTCCCATTGCATGCTTTGCCACCGATTCTCTACAAAAACAAAAGTAATGTCCACAATTGTCACAGAACTGAGTCCCTGAGTTGTACTGTCTCTTAGAAATAGTCGCTGGTCGTATTCGTTTGTTGGGTTTCGTGTAGTAGATTTTTTGAAATCTTTTTTTTGAACTTAGCACGTTCTATAAAAAGGAATACATATCTCGTATATATATATATATATATATATATATACTTACATTTCATTGTGTGTGGCTAAAGTTAACTTGGTGGTAGATTAATTCTATGGACAGAAACAGACAAAGAGATAATTAAAAGTAGTCAAATTAAAAGTAATCATGATATCCCCATGGTTTAGTGTCTGTATAAGTATAGTTGACAATTCTTTTATCATCATATGGACTCAATGCAATTTTTTGTTGGGAAATTGTGATTACATCATGCAATTTCGAAATTATGGACTGTTGGGTTAAAGCTACTTGAGTATTTTGGAATAAATATTTATGGTAATCATCAAACGTTATTTCCTTCAGAGCTGACTTCTGAATTCCTTTAGCTTTTTTAATAACATGCGAGTCTTTGTTTTTTTCACCTGACTCAGGTAGAAGTCTCAAAGCATACAGTTTTGAACGCAACCCAATAAAATGTGTCATTATTCGACCTTGATTTTCATCCTTCATTAGACCTAAGACTTTTTTATTTTTCAATGGAATTCTATAAGCGTTATTTTCTGGATAATCGGATGTATCAAACCTATCAATGTCTTCTTTGATGTGTTCGTAAATGTCATCAATATTTGAAAACTGATATATTAAGCTATCTGTATCAGTATAGAGCAATTTTGAATCATCTTTGAATTTGTGTTTAATGTAATTGTAATGAAAATCATATATATATATATATATATATATATATATATAAGTTTTAGATATGTCCAATATTGACATACCTATACAAATTGGTTTGTTTAATGTAGCTTTCAGTCTGTTCATTTCAATTATGACCATTTCTTTACTAAATATAGTGCAGCTATGAAAGTTAGGTTGTGCAATGTAGTATCTTGCACCATATCTTCCTGACCACTTAGTTACCAACTTGATGTCTTTATATTTCCTAACATTTTCAATCGTTTTGCCATAAGGGGAATTATTCATTAATTTGAAAAAAAAATTCTCGAAATCATTCTTACTTTGCTTTCTCAGCTCTGTATTAAGATCAATGTAGTTTTTTAACCAAGTTGACTGTCTAAATTTTGAACAACGATGAACTTTCCTGATGACAATACCCAGTTGCGTAGCTTGTTTTAGTGATGTATAATGGACGACATACTTTTGTTTATCGTACAAAGTTGTTAACAATTTTGGTTTATCAGAATACGAAGTAGGTGGTACTAAATGCTCAGGACATAATGGTAGATCTTTGTGTAGATCGCGTAAATGAAGAGGATAATGTAGATCAACTTCTAGGATGTACCCATATTCATTTTTCTCATCGCTCAAAATATTTTCAATACAGATGTTTTCAATTGGAACCCAATGAAAATCCCCATATGGTAGAGAATGTGACATGGCAGCTCCATACAAATTATATATATATCGTAGTACATCAAAAACGAAGATGGTAAATCAGGATTATATTCACTATTCATATATTTATTGTTAGCCTTACCGAACATTGAGATATACCTCCTCTGATACCTTTTTCTATGAACAAAACCATATCACTGTCAGTCAACAGCTCTATTTCAACATTAGTGACTTTAAGCATAGCATCAAAGGCTAGACCTGGCGTAGTATAATAGTGCAATGCATTTAAATTGTATGTCTGCATACACATTTGACGGAAATTTTCGAAAACATCACAAAGCAACAAAATATCAGTTTTTAAGTATAATTCAGCGTATTTCTGATACTTTTTCTATTATGCGATATCCACTAGGCACGTTAGGGTAGAACATATGCAACGTGTGAACAGCATGATCATTTCTAAAAGAATTCGTTATCAGATTACATTCCACACATATACTTTGGAAACATTTATAGAAAAATCTGAGATGTGTAGTTTATGTGGACTCAATTTTCTCTTACTAAACCCTAATAACCCACCTATTGTACCATTTTGCTGAAAATCGATGAGTCGGTTACTTTTAATTTCAAACCGTAACGTATTTAAATTATTTCGCATATGGAGTTGTATGTCAGGCTGTTTATCATCTTTGACAATTGCATTTGAACTTAGAGATCGTTTTTGTTGTGGTTGTTGTTGTTGTTGTTGTGGTGGGGACATCCTCCTTTTTTTATTTTGTTCACCTACTCGTGGTTTGATTCTCTCTTTAATAAATTCTATAATGTCTTTAATTTCATAACTACCTTCAGGTACTGTTACAACCTCATCATCAATATGAAACTTATTATTTGTTATATCTATGTTGGGTATTGTGCTGAAAGTTAAAAAATCAATAAGTCCTAAAGGGTACGTTTTACTATTGTCGAGTACTATAGGTGGATAGATTTTAGCTGGTAACACAGACTCTCTACCAGATAAGGTAAATGTATACATTATATGAACCGATCAGTGGCGGCTCGTGCCAATTCAGTGAGGTAGTGCCAGAATGGAAGCCATAATTTTGAATCGATTCAAAATTGTAAAGAATAACTTATAACTTACCCCTGATAGTTAGTGGTCAAAGTTCTTGAGGTTCAATAAATCTATATGTCCAAAAAAAAATCAAAAATAAAACTATTTACACACGCGCACCAAATTATAAAACAAGTGTGGAGAAGTACCTATAACTTCAAAGTTTTCTATACATGAAGTCCATTCTTCTTTCTTTTTTGGTAGCAAAGTTTTCGATTACCTTATTATTAAAATTTTCAATGCCACTTACAAAATGTTTTTCTGCAGACAGCATTCCTAAAGCCTAAGCCTTTCTTCCTTCATTGTGTTTCTGAGGAAAGTTTTAATCCGTTTCAGCATTGAAAAAGAGCGTTCTGCTTCAGATGTTGACATCGGTATAGTGATTAAAATACTTAAGAGCTTAAGAGTTTCTTGAAACGTACAATTTAATCCTTCCTCGTTCAATAAAATGGATAGTGGAACAGCTCCAGAAGTAGTACTCAATTCTTCTCTCTGATATAATACTTGTAACTCAGTTTTAAGCCTGTTTTTGTCTAAAAATGAAAATTGTGTGCATGTGTCATTTAAATGTGCTTCAGGAAACTGATGTTTATAAACAGAAAACTTTTCAGACACAAATAAATTAGAAGCAACTAAATGTCCAGAAAAGTTAAATCTTGTTCTTATTTGCGATAATACTGCATCGCATATTTCTAACGCTTCCCGTTTTTTGCTGCCTTCTTCAACTTGCCTTTTTTTTCTTGCCGGTTCATCAGTTTCTCTCTGCACTCGTTCAATCTCGTCAATAATGCTATCCATTTGTTCTCGTATAGTTTGAATTGCTGCTTCAAAATTCTCTAAATCATTTTTGACCTTAACAGAATCGGTGCATACTTTTTGTAATTGGTTAAAGACAATTTCAACATGTGGCATTATTTTATGGAATATACTTAGCCAAAATACAAAATTTGTATCTTGCAGCTTTAATTTGTACCCACTGGCTTGATTAATCGACGAAGAATCGCGTGAAGTACTTTCTATATTGTCCATAACTTCAATCAGGTCTTTCCTATTTTCATAAACTGTATGAACACCTCGTGACTGAAAATTCCAACGTGTTTGGGAAGATCTTGGCAATCTGCAGTTAACTATTTCATCCAAAATTTTTGTTCTTTGAGGAGACGTCGAAAAAAAAGAGCACAATCCAGATAAATTATGGAAAAATATTCTAGCCTGCTTATTGACAGAGCATGCGCTTGTCATAATTAGATTTAACTGGTGTGCATAGCAATGAACATAATTTGCAAGTGGATAAGTTTCCTTAATAATTTTTTGAACGCCATTCAATTCACCACTCATAACAGACGCACCATCATAGCTTTGAGCTATTAATTTGTTTGGATTTTGATCTAGTAATGGATTTACAACATTTAAAACGCATGCAGCGATGGATTTGGCATCGTGTCCGTCGGGGACGTAAAATCTCCAAAATCTCTCAACTGGTTGTCCTTTACACAAATATCTGAAAATAATAACTAACTGAAATTCACAGGCTACGTCAGTCGTTTCATCGGCAATTACTGCAACAAAAGGAGAATTTGCAATCTCCTTCTTAACTTCTTCATGATAAACATCTAGCATGCACTCAAGAAGCTCGTTTTGAGTTGTTTTTGAGGTACCCTTGAAAAGTTTGGCACTTTGAATATGGAATTTCAATTCGTTGTCTAATTCGGCGCTAAAATTCACCAGCTCCTTAAATATGCCTCTGTTTTCCGAATTTTCCTTTTCATCGTGACCCCTTAAGGCTAACTCAAATGCTCCACAAAACCTTATACAATTAATAATTTTATTCAATACATATCGATTCTTATCCACTTGATTATTATGTTTAATTAGATCATTGCGATAAGCCGAATTGAGTTGAGTCCTTATATTTAATTTACCAAGAATAGAAAAGCTAAAAACATTATTCATATGGACTTTAGATTTTTCGTGGGTCTTCATTTTATCCCATATATGTATAAGATCGTCTGTACCTTTTTTTGACCAAGTCTCGTCACCTCCAAATAGAACACATACAAAACAAAATAGTTTATTCGTTTCTTCACAACCACATATATGTTTTTATCGTACACATTTTTATTAAATTTGCGACAGCGCGATTTTTGTCCGCTACCAGTTTGTTTCTCAATTTTTAAATCGGGTATTGGCCGTCCTAATTCTTTAATTTGCAGTTTTTGATCCAGTGAAAAACCACTAAATGAGTTTTTTAATATCCCGATTTTATTCATTTTCACTAGTTTTAATAAAACAGTAAAAAATATGATCACAAAACAGAGCAGTTCATTAACACTAGACGTACTAAAACAAAAAAGGTATTTTACACTTTTCAGGTAAAAAAAGACCGAAATCAGCACTAGACGTAATCATAACGAAACGACCGACCGAACAAAAACACCGCCGATATCACTTGATAACGAATTACGACTGATGATGTGCCTGGCACAAATTATACTTGTCTTTCGCTATTCACCTCATATAAAAATGTGTAGGGTAGCGTTATCTCTGTCGCTCGTATGCGATGCTAGTAAAATTTCTCTCTTTTTATTTGGGCCGGCCCAAAATTGGCACAAGTTGATGACGTCAAGGTCAAGGCGTGCTTTCCGTCTTGCGTGGTTCGGGTGCTTGCGGTGTTGTCACGTTGTCAGTGTTGTCACTTCATATAATTTATACCAAAAAAAAAAAATGAAAAAGCAGAAAATAAAGTAAAACATTGAAGATTGAAAAAAATATTCTTTTTGAAGAAGACAAGGTAGTGCCATGGCACCGTGGCACTACCTCACGAGCCGCCACTGGAATCGATCAATGGTCATAGATGAAATAAACAAGTGTTATTATGGTAACCGGTATTTATTCAGTTTTCAGAAAACGTAAACACAATTGACCACAATTTACAGTATTAAGTCTTTGAAGTACATTATAATTGTACTGTATTTTACATGGTCCACTACAATTAAAATATACAATTGCTTCCAGTGGTGGTTCTAAGTTTCCATATGTATCTAGGTAAACCACCAAGTTTCCCTTTTTCTTATATGCAGTCCAGTGAGTACCTGGTCCAGTAGATGTATCCAAATTAATAATTCCTCTTTCATTGGTTTTTATTTTTTTGGGAAGTTTATCTCGCATGAAGACTCCTCGAAAATATGGTATTTTCAAAAGTTTTGCATACTTTTCCAGTTCAAAGTTTGTTAACGGGTGACTATTTGGAATTGAAATTTTTTTAACTACTTGTTTTTTCTTTTTCAGGGACATTTTCTTTTCTCTCACAACTGGTTTCAGTTAGTGTATAGTTTCAGGAAAAGACCCATACCCGTTTTATAGGGTTTCAAAAACATTCCCTCTCCAAGTGCTACAGCTTCCATCATTTTATTATGACGTTGAGATTCTTGTAATTGCTGCTTCGCGGATTTTGCATCATTGACAGCCTTAGCAATACCAGCAGCACCGCCAGACAAAGCTCCAAGGACGGATAAGCCAGCAAAAATTGGGATCAGTGGTAGTATACCTCCTTTCTTCGGTATCTTCACGATACGATTTGGTGGCTTTTTTACACCTTTTTTCAAATTTTGTGCCTCCCTCAACGCTACAAGTATTGCTTCTTCAAAGGTAATAGGTTTTTGATCTACCACACGTTTCCCTATTTGTTTGATTGCGCTAGAAAAGCTATCCTTCCTTCTTTTTATTTTACTGCTCGATATACTTTTCGTTCTCCTCTTAGTCTTTATCTTTCTTTTCTGACGCTGTGATCGTTGTTGTTGTTGTTTTTTTCTTAGGATTAACATTCTTCTTACGTACCATTTTCATTACTGAATTTGGATGTGTAGATTACTAGGTATTTATAACTTTAACTTTCCTAGGTATGTTACTATCATCATCATCATCATTATCACGATCATTATCATTATCTAGTTGAATCTTCCGTTTTCTATTTTTCTGTTTCCATGGATGTGGAATTACGTCATTCATATCTAACTTGCGTTGTTGTTGTTCGTTTTCTTCATTATCAGATTCTCTCTTACGTTTTGTACTACATTTTTTCTCAGGAGTTATAATTGGATCATCCAAATCTATTTTTATTTTTTTCACTTTTTCATCATTCAATGAAGTAGTAGTAGTAGTAAAGGCTGAATCCAGTTTCCTCTTTTTTGGTTTGTTCTTTTGCCCTTCTTCTGTTACATCAGTGTCCATGTATTCAATTGGAGTCTTTGGTTTTTTTCTTCTCTTGATTTTTTCATTTATGCTTTCTAAAGCAGACTTTTCTTCTCTTTAACATTAGGTTTTGTTTTTCGTTCACGCTTCACTTTGAATGTTTTATGTTTTACTACATGGTTTTTTTTGGTTTCGTGTTTCTTGATTTCTCTCACTTCTCGTACTTTTTTCTCACTAGATTTACTTTTCTCCTTATCCTTCGCAAGTATATTTTTTTGAGCTTTTTGAGATTGTTCAGTTTGTAGGATCTGTACAGAGTCTTGAACCAGTTTTTGAGAGCCCTGTAATTCTTTCGCTAATGTATGTAATTTCTTCAAACAATTGTTTATATTACGTTTTTGGTGCCTTTGAGATGTTTCTTTTAAGCCCATTCCCAGTTTTACTTTAGCTTTCATAGCACCTGCTACAGCTAATGCGGTGACCTTCTCCTTCCAAGACTAATCACTTGCACGAAACCTATTCATTGCTTGTTTTGCCAGCACCTTATCAGCCAAATACCGATTACTCAGATCTTTTTCTTTTGAATAAAATATATCGTGTTGTTTACAAGCTTCATCCAATCCGTTCACACCTGGATCATTTCTGGCTAACCTTTCAGCAAGTTTAGTACTAGGACCACAGTATCTGTACGTTGGGATGTGTAATTCTACAGATAAATTATTTATAGCTGTATTCAGTACGCCTTCACCACCGTAGTACTTCATAGCACATGAGTGATAAGTGAACTGATATATTTAATCGTTTGCGTTACTAGTTATAATTATCTAGTCGGTTCATGCTGTTAATTAATACGCTGCTAGTGATTAGTACATCAACAAGACATGCCTTCATATATTTGCGTTTCATGCTGGAAAAATACTGAGTTCACCATACAAGTGACCTTTCCATACACAAACATACGACAAAGAAAAATGCAATATTGTTCTGTTTGTGAAACTTTACAATTTGGCTGTTAAATGAAGAATAGTAATATTTATCACCCTCCTCCTCCTCATCCTCCTCCTCCTCCTCCTACCCTTTCGGATAATAAAAAAAGACAGTATGAGACTTAATACATATATATACGTATATACCATTCAAAAGAAGAACACACTCAGAGATGAATTGTCTGGATTTAGTTGAAATTGCTGCTGCTGTTTTAGCCATTCAGTTTTTTACCCTAACAACGTGTTACCAGAATGAACCAGTTGTAGTTGCTGATCAGATCTTCAACATCGACGACGGAGTTTTCTACCTGTATGAGTTACATAATTATGGAAGAACAGAATTAAAGTCGTATCCAGCATTCTATTACTCAGGGAAAAAAATTCCCATCGACACAGAAATTAAAAGTCAATACAATCGAAAAATTGGATATGTAATTGGACAAGATCTGAATTATTATCCAGTCACAATGAAACGAAAAGGTACAATTATGTACTGTGGAAAATACAATATAAGGCAGTTACTTCGACAGGGATACATTATTTTCAATAGAAAAACATATTCTACCAACAGTCCCTAAAACACATTCCATCATTTCGCAGCTTCAAATATAAGTTGTTTTATATACGATTAAATATATTAATATCACACTACCGCCGTCGTTTCATTTATTTCTCTTCCCATATTATTATTATTAGTATTATTATTATGACTAGAGGATGATTGAAATTAGGCTTGGCTTGTCTCTTGCATATGCATAAAGCTTTTCTCAATCACTACTCATTTTGTGGGTCACGTGGTCTTTAGGCCTTTTTTTCTGCATACATGACGTCACGTTTTAGCACATTTCACCCTTCTACTACTCATGATATAACTCAAAAGCAAGCACAATTTGATGCAAATAGATGTTTGTGAAATAACCTCAAAATAGAGCACTGACATGGAAAACTAGAAAACTATGACAATCAAGGAGGCCATAAAGGCGCCCTACAATTGTAGGGACGACTGACGATACGGGCCTAAGTTACAATTTTATTTTCTATTTTTCCTGATTGCTTGAGAAGTATTTCAGATTTTGGCATAAAACTCGGTATAGGGAGGTTTTCTAGTATGAGAAGCAAGAATCCGTTATTTTTTTTTGGCCAAACTTCTAGAGGCCGCTTCGGTAAATGACTTATCATAACTTTGTGTTATCCTGCATACATGTACACCACCTTCCCAAACACACTCACGAGCTCAACGAACTAATCCATGCTGCAATCTCTAAAGTATTTGGATGTTATTTTTCATTTCCTGGCAGTAGTTAATCAGGGGTGATACGATGACAGTTCTCGTGGTCGATGACTCACGTACCATTCTTGTCCCTGAAGAAGTGATCGTCAATGACCAGAAGGGGATTTTTACTGTGTTAAAAGAATGCCCTGTGCCGAAGAAGAAGTGATCGTCAATGACCAGAAGGTAGCCTGTGTCCGAAGAAGGTCATTGACCTTTACCTGTATACCTGAAGACATGATCGTCAATGACCAGAAGGAATGAAGGACGGAAGGAAGGTTTGTTTCTTGTGCGCTGATTGTAGTCACCAGCACCAGCAGCGCTGAAGACGCGTCGCAAGTTCGTTGTAACGTAATTTCTGCGGACGAGTTTAAACTGTAGTACCACGTAACCTGTGACGTAATTTTTGGCGTCAAATTCAAATATTATAATTATAGAAAAAGGGTTGTCTGTATCGTGTTTCGAACCCGGGACTCCTGTATCGGTAGGTAAACACGTTATCCGCTAAGCTAGCGTGTTGATAATTTGTTTCTTGGATGTGGTACATAAACAGCATGTACGGTATGCGATAAGATAAAAGCTAACCATGTGACCTGCGACGTAATTTTTGGCGCTAAATTCAAATATTATAATTATATAAAAAAGGTTGTCTGTAGCGTGTTTCGAACCCGGGACCCCTGTATCCAAATAGTATAGCACAATGTCAGTTGTGCTAGCTAGCTAGCCAAGCTGATACTAAGTTTCCATTATTGTGATACATTTGCGAAGTGTTCAGTGTGTGTGGTATCCGATAACAGCGGATTCTCGAGCATAGCCGAGATAACATGAGGAAACAAGATAGTAACCGTCCGATCAACCAGATGTGTCGACTTTATTTTTGCATGAATACAAAGATTCTTCTTATCTAATTCGTAAATGTGGGTGGTAGGGTGAAATAAAAAAACAACAGATAATTATGTTTTCTTTTATTGAATACATTGAAGTATGATTAGTACAATTATATTATGTGTATTTAATAAACTTTGACAATACTTTACAGTGGATTATACTTTATTAAACGATCATTAAGTATGAGACAAAATGCTATTGTACTAGCTGGCACGTTTTCTAATGTTTCAAATTCTAAACGTATATCTACAGCGCCTGATTTTAAGGTTTCATTTTGTCTACTACAAATTAGCGGAGCTAGTTCAGAAAATTTTGTTAACGTCAAGCAGGGTTCGCTGGAATTTTTGTAGTAATATGATAGTTGGAATTGTGCAAACATTTCATATAAAATGCTTATGTGTTTTTTGTTAAAATTGAAGGACAACGATAACGAATCGCGGTTTCTCAAGTTGACTACTTGCTTTAACGTTCCATGTGTGTCTCGTTGTTTGTTGCAGAATAGGTAGTTCATGTAGTTCCCGACCTCGAAAAGCGATCTCCAAGTCTGTTCCGGTCTCGATGTACTTAAGAAGGCGTAATTTTTCGGTGTCAGCTACTTGAGTGTGTGGCACTCTCAACATTAGCTTGGTTAGTTCAATTTTAGGTTTCTCACCAGCCTTACTAGTTACAACAGCATTATCATCGGTTGAACTCCTGATCAAGACCAGTTCTTGTCGAATACCAGAATTACCAGAATCTTTTTGAAATCTTCAAAACAGCCCATTAAGTTCTTCAACGGTACATTGACGCTAAAATATCCTTGATTGTTGACAACACTCGGATAATCCAAATGATTCCATCCTGCATGATGGTATCTGTCACATTCGTTACTGGTGAATAAAACGAGTCCTTTGATTGTTGATGTAATACCAGGATTTCTAACTCTGTCAACTAATATACCACCTATTTCATATCTGATTTCATCGAACAGAAATGCAATAAAGTTGTTACATATCTGCAATGTGGGGCTAGGTTGATCTGTATCATCCAGTAGCCTTCCCTCAAAATACAAACAACTATTACCAGGCAACGTATATATATCTTGTGTTTGAATTGGTATACGAATTTCATCAGACTTATTTAAGGTTACCACCTTGCAAATACCATTTGCATATGGGAGATGACTGTGAAGTTCACAATTCTCGATGGAATTGTCCATAAGTGCATGCTCGCCAATATTTAGTATGTTGAAGCTCATTTTGAGTTAACGTTTTCTTTCGTTTTTTTTTTTCTTTTTGTGTTTCTGTCGTAGTATTCGTGGTCTTTGTTGTTTCTTTGGTACAATTTTAGCTGTAAAACAGCTGCACTTGAAAGATACCTCCAAAAATGTCCGTTTAATTAATCTGTTACAGTTTCTTCCGTTTATATGTGGAAGAAAGCTATGATTGATGTTATATAGGAACACCATTACAGCTCTTTCAAATGAAGTCTAGTCGTTATAGTTTCTTTTTTGGAATTGACCAAATGACCATCTTGATCCACTATTTTAATGATTATCTCATCGATATGATTGGTATTCACTGGAAGATATATGACATTTGCTACTTTTTCTACAATTCTGAAGACGCTAGGCACATCAGGAAAAACACATGTAACACATGAACAGCATCGTTGTTATGATAAGAGTTGGTTACTAAATTACAATGTATACATATAGAATTTACTTTGGAAATATTAATTGGAACATCAGATATGTGTAACGTGTTACGTGACAACTTGTTTGTGTTGAAGCCTAAGAGTGATGCAATAGAATTAGGCTTTTCGAAATCTATTTCCTCGTTGCATTTGATTTCAACTCTTTGCGTATTGCGATTTGCTTTCATTAACAAAATAACATCATTATCGATATAATAATCATGTTTTTCTGCTCCTTTTTCTTCTCCTCCAATTATCATTTTTTATCGTCTTTTGCCAAAGCATCTTGTTGTTCTGATGCTGCTCCTGTTGCTGCTGCTGCTGTTACTACTGCTGATACATCATATCGCATTCTTTTTCTTTGTTGCTGTCTCACATACTGCATTTCCTTCACACGTGCCATAACAAAATTTATTATATCATTTAATTCATAAGTGCCCTCTGGTATGATGATTGTCTCATTGCCGATATGGAATTTATTGTTAGTTTCATCTACATTTGGTACAGTATTAAAAGTGACAAAGTCAATGAGACAACCGGTTACGCACGAATGAAAGTCATCAATATACATGTAACGGTATTTATTGATTCAAAAGGAAACGTAAACATAATTGACCACAGTTTACAGTATTAAATTTTTGGTATACATCATAATTGTATCGGATATTACATGGACCATTTGAATTAAAATATATTAATGCTGCTAGCGGTGGTTGTGAGTTGGCGTAACTATCAAAATACACAACTCTACATCGAACTTTTCTGTATGCAGTCCAGTGTGTTCCTGATCCATCTTCGTTATCTAAATTGATAATACCACATTCGCTGTATTTGGATATTTTCTTTGGAAGTTTGTTACCCATGTGTACTCCTTTAAAGTGTTTGATACTTAAAAGTCTTGCATATTTTTCCAGTTCAATATTTGTCAATGGATGATATAGATTGTTAAGTAACGACACAGCATCAAATTTTCCTTTCTTAGGCATGCTATCGTATACACACAAATACGTTCACAGATGTGATTTAAAAAAAGTCCCTTTCCTTTTTTATACGGTCTAAGATACATTCCTTTGCCCATGGCAATAGCTTCGATTGTTCTGTTGTGACGTTGCGATTCTTCTAGTTGTTTTTTGGCAGATTTTGCATCGTTGACAGCTTTTGCAATACCGGCCGCACCGCCTGATAATGCAAAAATGGGAATCAGCGGTAATACACCACCTTGTTTCGGTATCGGGATAACTCAAGCCGATGGTTTCACTTTATGCTTTATACCCTGTGCTGATTTGGAAGCTACACGAACTGCCTCGCTGAACGTTTGAGGTTTAAACCTTGAAATGCTTTGTTTTATTTGCCTGATAGCATTCGAAAGACATATTTTTTCCTCTTCTTGTTGTTGGTTCTCTTTCTGAGCTTTGACTGTTTCCTACGTGCCATCTTACCAGTACAAAGCTACACGTGATACTGAATTTATATTTCCTAAGTAAAACAATATTAATAGTTTTATCCTGTTTATTGATCAATAACATTATTACAATCATCATCATTATCATCGGAATAATAAATATCATCATCACCCATATCGTCAACAAACGCAAAAAAATGTATACATAACTCTGTACCAGATGAATCAACTTCCTCTTGATATGGAACACCTGCATAAGCAAAATAAACGGATCCATTGAAGTTGAAATATATCAATAATTCTTGTGGTGGTCGATGCCCATATCTGTCGTAATAAACAATCCTAGTTCCAGATTTTTTGTATGCAACCCAGTATGTTTTGGTGTTTTGCAGGTCTTCGTTGTTGTACAAATTAATAACACCAGCCTCATCACATTTGGATATCACTTGACCAAACAGCTCACTTAACATTAAAATACCTTTAAAGTTTTCCACAAAACCTCCTATCAGCTTGTTAAATTCATCATTTGATATATTATTATCAACACTCATATGTAGTAAATGCATGATGATTCTGCTTATTTAAATATTTTTTTATACAATTATACATGTACACGGCGCTGTCCTGAACTGAACTGAGCTGACTGATTAGGTGTATTTATAGCTGTAGCAAAGATATGTTTGTTGTGCGTATCTCTGTCTGTCTCTAACATACATACACAACCGCACCCACACACACTTATGATATCTCTCTCTGTGTGTGTGTTTGTTCCTCTGGTCTTAGTGAAACGTCAAACATTTTTTTTTGCTTTTCTTTCTTGTTCACTGCACATGTTTTTTTAATTTTTTCCCAAATTCTCATTTTCCCTATATCTTCGCTTACGTTGATTTTTATTCATCGGATAGTCATCAGCTATATCCATACTTCTATTTTTATTACAGTCACCATTTCTACTGGTACATTCTGCTGTAGTTGTATGCGGTGATGCATCATCTTTGTCATTAATATGTTGTAAGGTATATATACTAAGTGACATATAAATCCGAGCACCCAGTTTAAATGGATTTATTTTAATAAAAGTTGGTGAATGTATTTATCTTACTGTAAATAACAAGTGAAAAAATTTTCAGCCTTATCAGTTGGACATTCCGGTTTTTATACTGCTTTTTTTTAATTCACTAACGCTCTAAAAATGAATATTTCAACCGCAGTAAAGAATCAACGTTGGCGGATTTTGGTTCTTGACATTCTTTACGATCGGTTACGATGCCTAGAGTACGGAGACCTGTACGATTTCGTCGACTTAGTGAGTTTGATAGGGGCCGTATAGTGGGACTTCGGGAAGCTGGACTTTCTTTTCGAGCAATTGCAGTTAGAGTGCAAAGAAGTGTAGACACTGTGGTTAGGTGTTGTCAGGCATGGCTTCGAGAAGGCCGTACGCAAAGAGCAAGGGGCACTGGACGCCGCCGTAGAACAACAGACCGTGAAGATCGCCGCCTAAGATTATTGGCCTTAAGGGACCGTTTCTCCGCTATCAGGTCCATTGCAAATGAATGGTTTGCAGAACACGGAAGACCTATTGGCATGCGAAACTAGAGAACACCGACGTAATCGCCTTGAGTGGTGCAGACAACGGTCACTCTGGGATCAGGAATGGAACAGTATTGTCTTTAGTGACGAGTCTCGATTTTGTTTAGGCATACACGATGGTCGTGCCAGGGTTAGAAGGCGACGTGGTGAAAGGAGGAATCCACAGTTTTTTGTTGAAAGACATGTTCATCACACTGTTGGAGTTATGGTTCCAGGTCACCTTTAATCTTCATCAGAGGTAACATGAACGCGCAACGTTATATCCACGAAGTTCTAGAACCCTATCTTGACACCTTGGCAGATCCAACTTTCCAACAAGATAATGCCCGACCACATGTTGCAAGAGTCACAATAGACTTCTTTCAACATAATGATGTCACATTGTTACCATGGCCACCAAGATCTCCCGACTTATCCCCAATTGAGCACGTGTGGGATATGATGGGTAGGAGATTGCGCAAATTTACGCAGACAAAAATTGTTAATTATTTTTCCTCTAATTAAAAAATACTTATCGCTGTGAATATACTAAGTGACATATAAATCCGAACACCCAGTTTAAATGGTTTTATTTTAATAAAAGTTGGTGAATGTATTTATCTTACTGTAAATAACAAGTGAAAAAATTTTCAGCCTTATCAGTTTTACATTCCGGTTTTTATACTGCTTTTTTTTAATTCACTAACGCTCTAAAAATGAATATTTCAGCCGCAGTAAAGAGTCAACGTTGGCGGATTTTGGTTCTTGACATCCTTTGCGATCGGTTACGATGCCTAGAGTACGGAGACCTGTACGATTTCGTCAACTTAGTGAGTTTGATAGGGGCCGTATAGTGGGACTTCGGGAAGCTTCTTTTCGGGCAATTGCAGTTAGAGTGCAAAGAAGTGTAGACACTGTGGTTAGGTGTTATCAGGCATGGCTTTGAGAAGGCCGTACGCAAAGAGCAAGGGGCACTTTACGCCGCCGTAGAACAACAGACCGTGAAGATCGCCGCCTAAGATTATTGGCCTTAAGGGACCGTTTCTCCACTACCAGGTCCATTGCAAATGAATGGTTTGCAAAACACGGAAGATCTATTGGCACGAAGTTCTAGAACCCCATCTTTTACCCTATCTTGACACCCTGGCAGATCCAACTTTCCAACAAGATAATGCCCGACCACATGTTGCAAGAGTCACAATAGACTTCTTTCAGCATAATGCTGTCACATTGTTACCATGGCCACCAAGATCTCCCGACTTATCCCCAATTGAGCACGTGTCGGATATGATGGGTAGGAGATTGCTCAATTTGCAACGTCCTCCTCAGACTCTAGAAGCACTTCGAGAGGAGTTGGTGGTTGCCTGGAATGAGATACCACAGGAGGACATTGACCACCTGATCAGAAGCATACCTAGGCGCGTTGGAGAATGCGTAGCACATCAGGGTGCATCCACACATTATTAAAGGTCAAAGGGCTTTAAAGAAGTGCAATCATTTTGAAATTTTTATCATTCACTTATTATGCTTCATTAAGTACTTATACAAAATTTTATTAAAATAAAACCATTTAAACTGGGTGTTGGGATTTATATGTCACTTAGTATAAAATTGCATCAGCATATTGAAGAACTGATGCGAGATCTTGTCTCAACTTTAACATTTTACCATGACAATAGAGAACCATCTGATCTTTTTCAATACCCATACCAAATTTCACTTTTGCCTTCATTACACCAGTTGCACCTAACGCTGCAATTTTCTCCTTCCAATTAGCATCTTTGGCTTTGACGCGGGAAAATGCTTTCGTCGCTAAAACTTTGTCTGCTTCATGACGTTTTGATAAGTCACGTTCATTCATATATGCTATATCGTGCTCCTTACATGCTTCATCTAAACCATTTATACCTGGATCGTTTCTGGCTAGACGTTCTCCTACACACCAATTATAACCGCCAGGTAAATGCATTTCAAATGGCAAATTGTTAATGGTAGCATTCAATAAACCATCACATGTGTAATATTTCATTATATACGCACGTATATTTACTATAGCGACAACTATAAATTCAGATTGATATAAAATAGGTTGTTATAGTATTATTCATACCAGTGCAATGCAAGTAAGCAATAGACAAAGATAGAAATGAAAATTGTGAAACAAAAAATAACTTTGAACATTGAAAATAATTCGTATAAGGATCAGAAGCATGTTAAAAGTATTATTTATGTATTATTTCCTCAAACGATACCGTGTATCATTGTCGGATCATCGAACTGTGGCAAGACAAACGTAATGATAAACTTGATTGAACATGAGAACGGCACGGGGATCATGTAAAAAACCTACGAAACGTCAAAAAAAACCTACATAATGTCAACTTGCATACTAGATAGTTTTTAGGGTGCAAACAGTCGTTCCACGGTTGCTCACTTGGGTCGTTGTAAGTGCGATCCATCTATGAACGAATATCTGAACGTTACGAGATACTTTTCTCTAACCAAATACCATTGTGCATTATTGGTTGCAGTGAGCTGAAAGAGCCACTTAGAGTTCATAGCTCATAGTGTGGTTCATTGACCTCAATGTGTAGGTTTAAAATGTGAAAAACTAAAGTTTGGTTGACTAGCAAGACCGCATCTGGATAATTGTATTGGTCTGCATTTGTATAAAAAAGGGATATTTGATAAGTTGAGAACATTATTACTGACTATGCTGCTAATGAGGTATATCTATTAGCTGTGCCATACGAGTTATTTGTGTTGTTCTTTCTGAAGAGAGGTTATGTTCAAAGTTATGGTTGTGTTTTCAAAAACTTTGAGAAGAATGAAAAAAAATCATCACCGCGCCCGCGTTGTGTGTACTTTACTGTTAACATGTATATGACTCGTAATTCGACAGTGTATAGTGAATATAATTGCAATATGTAAGTATAAAATATATGATTCCACTTGGTTAATTCTCATCTGTAGTGATTAAATTAATTCATCTTTTGTATGTTTCTCAAATTAGCATTTTATTGAACTCAAATTCTAGTTGTCAGTATTCAACTATTGTATTAATGGAAGGAAACATTAACAGTGCATAAGGACTCCAGCACAGTTTCTGAAACTGTGCATGCCTTTTCCACGTTTCACTATTGCCTCACTTATTATTAAAACCATATATTATGATTGTTTGAAGATTGTCTATATTCTCCTAGATAACAAGGTAGACAGTACATTATTTGAATAGGTTTAGCTCTAATTTTGCTAGTTCTATTGAGAAAGAATGAAAATGAAATCATAACTCAGTTTTGATAGACCTCATTGATAAACAAAAAGTAAATGGGAGCATACTGGAATAAGAAATACCTACAGCACTGGTATTTCAGTCAGAGATACTAAAAATCAAATGTTATATTGTAAAAGTATTAGTAAAATTAAATAATGATATAGTTGTTACTGCAAATTTGCTGGCTGAATATGAAATCACTAAAATAACCCCACTTTATAAATCACTGTTTAATGCTTACATAAAATATTATATGAATGGTCCATTTGCCGAAGAAGTAGTTCTTCTATATAAAAACCTAGTTAGCAGTACATAGGGGAAAGTAGCTTAAATCTTCCCTTTTTTCGGAAAAATGTATAATAAGCTAAGATTTTCAATATTAAGGGGCTCCTTTTATTTTAAATATTTAACTAAATGATTTGTACATATTTCTACTTTCTTTTGTTATGGCTACTTATCTAATTTAAGAGAAAAATACATTTTTTATAAACATTGCAAATGGTACGACTTGGGAAACCAGATGCCAAAATCGTACCACTAGGTTTCCTAGATCGTACTGATCTGCTATATCGTACCACTTAAGTATGGTAGCATAACAGTAGTATTTAAACAAGAATACAAATTTTAATATGCTCGTGTGTAGATGGGTATTACAAAAAAAAACGAAACAGGACAAACAATAATAACTAGATGTGTTATTTAGGAACAACTGTCACAAAAGTACGAAGAACTTCCTTCATAACTCGCACAAAGTTCATGGACCCAAAGCTTGCACAAGGAACACTGTATCATATTTTCTACTCGACACTCATTACATATAACACAAAGTCACTCATCCTCTACTATTTCTACTACCACTACGTCATTTGAACCATACGAAGCATTTTTCCTTTTTACTTTTTTCCGGTTGGCCATTGGCTATTCCTATTTTTCTTTTTGCCAGTCTCTTTTTCTTTTCTTCAATAGTAGGTTGCTTTTAATTCGTCCTTATGTGTGGTTGAAGTTAAAACTTTTGCCGCTTGTGGACGTTTACTTGCATTTTTCTGATTGCCAGGACTATTTGGAATTGGTAGAATGTCTTCGAAAGAAACATCGGGTGGTTGAGTTTCAGAGGTGGAGCACGATTTCTGTTTTTCAACTAAAAGCGCCAAGGGCACATCATCACTCGAAGGTGTATCGTCAGCGTCCTTGCTTTCCGCTAGTGCGCTTTATGTTTTGGTTCAGTTTGAAGAACATCTCCGCCTTCAAAATCAACATCTGTGAAAACGTTTCTATCCACAGGCCATATACCACATTTTTTAAATCCACTTATGGCATTTGCGACACATGCTGCTTTTCCATATCCTTCTCCGATTAATCGGGCCACCTGAAATTGACCGATTGTTCTCCCGGGATGTTATCTCAACCATTTTTCAACCGATTGCTCATAATAGACCTGGAATGGCTTAAATACTGCCACATCAAGTGGTTGTAAACGGTGGGTGGTATGACCTGGCAGCTGTAAAATAATAACCCCATTCTCGCGGGCCATCTCAATGGCTCCTAAATTTCTCGAATGTGGTGTGGTGTGTCCATCTAAAACCAAAAGCACTCTATCCTCTTTTGAAGGTTTAACTGCAGCAATAAAATGTTTTAACCAAGTAACAAACAAATCGGCGTTATTGTAACCAGTATCCGATATTTCGACCAGTGATCCTGGGGGAACTCCATCTGCCAGCTCTGGGGCCATCCTTTTCCTCTTGAAAATTACCGTTGGTGCACTTTCTGACATCTTTTTTGTATGGTATAAAAACCCGTGTAGTCGACATTGTATATTTTCGGAGCAGTCAAAGCATGATCGTCAACAAGTTGTTCTAAAATATTGAAAAACTCCTGAACATTGCTTCTGTTGAAACCTTTACACCGTGCGATCGAAGTTGATTCTGGTTGTCTCAAGGAAAGTTGTGGATGGCGACTCATAAAGCTATAAAAACATTTTTTCCAGCCATCCTTGTGATTTTATTAAAATTATGTTTAAGACCATTGCGTTCAGCGAATTCAATGGCAGCCTTTCTTACTTCTCGAATAGTCACTCCAAAAAAAAATTGACTAGTGTTAAAATATGCTTTTCCAAGTCTTCCTCCATCTCCGCAAAAAAAGTACAGGATCGACCTATTATTTTTTTTGATTCATTGGCCCTAACATTATAGGACTTTAAATGCCTCCTAAATGTTGGCTTTGGGATATTGTATTGGCGACAAATCTCATTAAAACCTATGCTTCCCTCACGAAAAACATTTAAGGCTGCTTTCACGTCCGCTTCAGACCACTGTCCATAATTTCTCTTTTCATTTGGCTCTCCCATTATCTATAAAAGAAATAAAAAAGTAAAAAAACTGTTACTACATAGCTTCCGTAATCGTACCAGTATAAATTGCCTTAATCGTACCGGTACGATTTAGGAAATCTCTAATGGTATGATCAAAGCAACTTTACACCAAATAAATAAAGATAAAGTTTTTCTGGAAATTATAGAAATAAGGTTATGTTTAAAGTTATCAAAAAGTGTATAAAAGTTGTTAATCTTAAAGGCATACAATAGATTTTAGGCTTAGTCAACTAAAATATCCAAAACTACTTATGGTAGATCAACCAAACTTTATATCACTTTGCCGCACAAAATAAAACGTTAAATATGTCGGGAGCGATACGCGCTACTGTCAAACTTTTGCTGGTATTACTGGTTGCCAACTTTAGGGTTTCTAATTGTGGTGAAAGATGTTTCACACATAAGCGTAATATCTGAAATACCGACACGGTACGATTAAGGAGCCAGTACGATATAGGCGACTTTCCCATACATATAATCTACCAAGAATGTACATTTATGTTGAATTTAATATTGTGATATTCACACAGCAGTTGTCCTCGAGGCCGGTATTCTAAACGTAGATTAGAGAGCTTTGTTAACTAAGTGTCAAGCATTCAAAATATTTGATTTGAACGTTATGGAATTTATTCAACAATTCATATGATAGCCTTTCACGATCACTAAATGTGATAGTATTGCATTATTGAATTTTCCAGAAATAAAACATCAGTACTGTAGGTTGCCAGGAAAGTGTATGAAATGAATTTCCAAACACTAAGAAATTCCTTTACATTTTTGTAGAATGAATGGACAAGGTTTGGAAGAAAGCTCTGACATCTATAGATCGTTTGGGTTTTTCTGGTGGTTACAGACATGTACCCTTCACAAAAGAACACAGCTCTATCAGTTGAAGACATCATCAGTCAAGTTTCGCCAATATAAATATCTACCGCAAGCAAATGATTGGTAAGTTTTACATCTTCCATCTCTAAACAATTATACGTACAATGTCATTATGTGCTTAAGTTGAGAAGTAAACAATTACTAACCGAGCCTGAGGCATGTAGGGAGGGATGAATATAATTTTTATTCATAGTGTGCTTTCCAACTGTAGCTCATATATAATTGTTTCTTGCTAGGAAGATTAGTCAATTAGCCATTTGGAAGGCCCAGTATCAATATTGTTTTACCTATATGTACTTTCTTCATAATTATAATTTTCATGCAGTTTGATCTGTGAATTTTAAAGATGTTTGGTTTCATTTGAACTTTCATTCTCTTCTTTGCCTCAAACACAGCAGTCAGTAGAGTCAAGTTGAACATGCTGAGCAGTATTTTGAAGCAAGTAAGCAGAAAGATAATATTGAATGAATGAATTAGTCGTCACCATCAAAAACATCTGTGTTCCACTATTTACAAAGTTTTTACTGTATTATTCAAATATTTGAACATTTGGACAGTACACTGATTATACAATAAGTTTGAAGTAATTAATCAACTCTATCAAATCACATAAGTTAATAATATTTATTCACAAATTAAACATATTATTGAGTGACATTGGCAAAAACAATCATCATCAGAACCTCTTTAAGCTTCAGTTTTTTCTGTCAATTTTTGAGCTTGCTCAAAACAGTGTTTCCAAAAGGATCAAACATTATTAATGTACTCAAACACTTGGAAATTGAATGCATTCTTTTTTCAAACGTTCTTGTTTCTTGTAAGATGACCAGTATTGTCTGCAACACACATTTGTCATTGTTTCTTAAATACAAACCTATTTTGAGAATATTTATCAACGTTCTTGTTTCTTGTGAGATGACCAGTATTGTCTGCAACACACATGTGTCATTGTTTCTTAAATACAAACCTATTTTGAGAATATTTATCAACGTTATTATTATATATATATTATATTATTGTTTGTTGAATTTTTGCGTTTCTGTTAGATTTTTACTAATTCGTGGGAAGTACAAGTCAAAGTGGTGTGAACTTGGATGACAAAATATAGCAAACAATTTAGCAAAGATACTCGAATTCTCGATTCACAAAATTTCAGGGTGAAAATGAACTCTAATTTATATTTTTTATCTGCTCACTATATGCGTTTTAACTCAATAATTACCTCAATACCATATAATATACAATAATCTATAAGTGAATAGATTGGAAGAAATATTTTGAGATAGGTTTTAACCTTTCGAATTATTTAGTTGGGGTGGAAAATGATTCTCCCTATGAGTGTGCTTCTCCTCGTCCATTGAATATTTCTTTATGGCTAATATGAATCCAAGCGAATCTATTTGACTTCATTCTTAACTGATATATTACATTTGATTTTAGGTTTCCTGAAAACCTGCGTTTAGAGTATTACATCACAGAGATGTATGCAAAGAGTTGCAATCGACTCCAACTGCCAGGAAGTTATATGGAATAGATCATTGCCACTCTAGGAGTAATTCTAGAGTACACCTAAAGTATGGTACCTCAGTAACAGCCAAATCATCATCATCTCTTGGCACCATTGGTCAAATGAACATATGTGGGGTATGATGGGAAGAAGAGAGACCTCTTTACCTTATCCTCTACCAAAATTAGCAGCACTTCGCATTGAGTTTGGTATGACGTAGCTCATCAGAAGCACGCTACGATAACTGTACGAGAATGTATGTGGCACTAGCTTAGTTCAAGACATTATTAGCGGTTTCTAGCGATACAGTTAATTTTTTTACCTAAAGATTTTGTCATGTTTTCCTACAAAATTGAAAAATGTTTAGTCAATGACATGGTATCGTGTATGATCTAGTTATCACATTTACTAAACGTTTTTCCAGGAAAGTCATTTTCTGTTTTGGGGAACATGAAGTTGTTAATGTTTTGACAGTCTATGCCATTAAATAGGGAGATTATGTATACGGAAATTTACGTTTTTTGGAAATTTTATTGGTTCTTAAAAGTATAAAAAATTAGTCCTGACGCTACATATGTACGTGGTCCTCTTAATCGGCATACATTATTTCCGCGTGAAAATAACTGCATAATCATTACCCATCATCAAGAATACTACCACGTAAAAGCATGGAAAATTAATATTTTTTTATAATTTGTGATTTTTTTTTTTCATTATGAAGATCAAGTCACTCCCATCAGTCTGTCTATTGGCGATTTTGTCACCGAGTAATTTCACCGATTCTAATGAAAGAGGAGATGTAGTAGATAATACTAGTTTATTGCATCACTCCCTTTCCATTAAAATCGTTGCAACGATTGCTGATTCTTCCCAGTGACAAAATGGCCAATAAACAGACTGGTAGAAGTGAGCGACTTCCATTTACATCATGAAATATCCGAAAATATTAGATGTATACTGACACGTACGCAACGTGCGTACAGCGCTGAGTCGCCGCGCGACAATTTCGTATACATTTTTGACTTTCGCTCCATACACTTGAAGAATTATTTTATTTTCTACATAAAAGAATAAGAATCTTGTTAGTTTAGCCATTTTAAGCGAAAATATCATTACATTTAACTTTACCCCTAATTTTCTCATAACATATTTACTGTTTTATAAAAGAAAAGTGATGAATTCAATTCCCTACAAACGCGTTTCTTTAAATGTCAGAAAATGCTCCAGCGCTATCATGACGCCAATTTGAATTTATCATTATTGCCAACAAATTGTAGGAAAAAAATTTATATGTCCTAGCCTACACCTCACTTTCTAAAACCCACAAAAAATTATTTGGCATCCATACATTTACGTTAGAACAAAAAATTACATCATTGCACCATGCAATTGCATGCATTTTTATTTGTTTGTTGCAGATTTATTTAGCATTAATGCTACAATATTAATTTTGTATAATTATCCGTTTACACATTTTTTTAATCCATTTTCTTTAATTTTACATTCTAGTCTATTAGATTACATCACTATGTATTTTGAGTATTCATAACTTGATTTTTTAATTTCACCTTAAACATTTTTAAATTCGAAGAAGTTTAATATCATTATTCAATTTATTGAATTCAAATACTGCCTTTTAAAATACAGAGTTGCTAGTTATGCTACTATTACAGTTTTGCAGATAAAAACCTATACTGTCTCTGTTTTCATAGTTATGATAATTGCTATTTAATTTTGTGAAGTTTTTTAAATGTAGAGGTAATAAATGGCTGTTCAATTTGAATATGAAAATGAGAACTAAATAGCATATGAAATTTTTTTACATTCAACCACTGTAGTGTGTAACATAGACTAAATCCTAGCATATTTGTTTTTAATTAAAATGATTTCCATAGCTTTATGTTGTAAAATTTGTAATTTTGAAAATATGTTTTCATTTGCTGTGAACAAAACAGTTGAACAACATAACATATCTGGAAGAATGATGTTGTTATACACATTTATTTGAATACTCGTACATACTAAAATTATGAGAAACTATAGAACTAATTTTATCTTTTTTGATATTTTTGAAATAATGCATATATATTGCACGTGAAACAGTAGTTTACTATCCACATACCTATATACCCAGATATTTAAATGATTGATTTTATTGATGGAAAGAAGAATGTGAGTTTATTTTATATTAGGAAGTCTTATGAGAAATTCTATAGAATAAATAAAATGTATTCTATTAATGCTGTTTTCTTATTCTTAAGCTGCCATAAATGTGTAGTTTTATGTGAACTGTTTTATAGTTTTCTCCATAATTCCTGTTATCTTGCCAGCTGCTTGATCAATCTTTTCAGATACATGATACATTTTAATAATCCTCTGTTTCATGGAATTTCTTTACGTCGAACTGTCCACACAGGCACATTCTAAAAATATTCATTTCTGGCAATTCCTCCAATAACTAATTTTTTTGGGAAGCTGTATTAAAAAATAACACATGTCCCTATCGTCAATATGTAGATTTTCCTGTATTTGATGATGAATTATGATTCTTATGTATTTTCCACGAAAAAAATGTCTAATTAAACCATTTTTGTCCTTTATCAGAACATGCCATCCTCAATTTAAAAAACAAACTTTGATTTCTATCCAATACTATTCACTCAAATCCATCAGCAAAGTTTAAGGATGTAAAAACAGCAGTAAATCAATTAAGTCAAATATGACCTTACAGGTCATTTTTGGCTGCATATTCGTGTAGTTTACATAGATTGCATACACAGTATATGTACTTAACATTCCCCAACAATTTTATGGTAGGTTACAAGTTTGTAACATACCATTAATGGGATAATCTCATGCATAGAGAAGCATATTTTTAGCAGGAGCTCCCTCACACTTCCCTGTTATGTTATTGATGTTCTTGAAATGTTAGATGCACATTATGGGAATGAAAAATGATTAAAAAAGTATTCATTTTAATTTAAAAAAATAAATTAAAAGTAAAAAGCATACATATTACATTATTTGATTTAGAAAATTTTCGATTGCTGCCGGCGAAGCGGAACTCCAATGAGCCGCCTGAAATGCGGACCTACTAGAAATCAGCCAACAGATCCGTTTCATACGTAATTGACTACGTTTTTACAAAAAAAATGATACAACTTGTCGACCTTCATGAATACGCGACCTCTGTGATAGTTGATAAATTCTCGCGACCTCTTGAAAATTGTCAGTGATTTTAAACAGTGTGTGTAACGAAATCACAGGGACTCTACAAGTAGTAATTTTGCCACGTGGGAGACAATCCATAGGATGCCTTTTCCACCAAATAAACAATTTTAAGATCAAAATTCGAAAATCGACGCAGTTGGTATCTCTAAAGCCGGCTCTCAACCCATAAAAATGGAACGGGCTTTGGCGTTACCCACCTATATTGGTATTTTCTTTCATTCATTTGCCTATAGACGTTCCTGAAGGCATCAAAGCAATAGTTTAATTAATAATGCATTTTAGAAGTTAATGAGATTCTTTCAATGTAATGACTAAACATTTTTTAAGTTAACTTCAAGACCTGTCTAATTACACATATTGGAATAAAAACACCAGGTGTACATACTTATAAACAGGAGTATACACATATATTTTTATAATCTAAAATGTATGTAACTCTTAATAACTACAAATGGAGCTCCTGATTTTTTTGACCTCTCCTTGGCTCTGATTAACCATCTCTTAATGATGAACATGCTTTCATACTCCAACGTGAAGGAATATAGTCGGCGTCTAAAAACATAGAGTTATTGGTAAACAATTGACACACATTTAGGGATGTCAGGTTTAAATTTGAAAATTGCAGAATGTCGATTTCCAAGGGGGGGAGCAGAATATGAAGGACATTTTTCATTAGACTAATGCACAATTCATATACAAAAGGAGTTATTTTTTGACAATGCATTCAACAGAAGATCAGATTTTTTTATCAGACTCAACAGTTTCCGACCGCTGTTTATTTTCCATACATTTCTTTGCATCCTTAGTTTTAATGTGAAGCTCTGCTTTGATATGGTTGATGAAGATGAAAATTTCAGCTGTCACATCAGAAGTTGCAACATGAAGGAAAAATAGTTTTTTCATCTAGTAAGTAGCTGAACCGAATTAAAAACGTGAAGTAATTTCAACATTTTTTTTATGAAAGTGAGGCTACTAAATGTCCTTCGCCTAAATTCCTGCCTCAAAGTCAGAACTTCCAATACAATCCAGGTTACCTGGTAACCCTACGTAAAATATAGTTGTAGAAGCTGTAAAATAAAAATTGTTAATACCTACGTACATAATGCACATCTGGCTAGGAGTAGTTTTTTGGATTGCAGCTATTGTTTATGACCATCCCAAGAATTCTGACACCTAATAAAAGAAAACCAATTTCAAATATTAATTTTAATAAGTTTTTGTGCACACTTATTTACTATATTTCGTACAAGATATTAGCAATTTAAATATAGAACTAGTACATTGTAATTCCTTTTCAATTTAGCCATTCTTCTTCAAAACTTTCAAATTTTTCCTTGGAAGACAGTGGCAGTGAATTATTGATTTCCCTTATATTGGTTTAAACTAGTGTTAACTGTATAGAGTTCATTGCCATATTAGGATTTTACAGTTATTCATCGTGATATTATATCAATTTTAATGTGATTGAATCTTTGTGTTAGCTACTACAATTCATCTTCCTGAAATGTTTTTTTTTGGAGAAAATCCTGATGAAGCTATTAAACAATGACAAAAAATTGATTTATTGAAAGTTTTTTTTTCTCTATGGCTGTTAATCTATGGTGGATTGTGATAGCAACCTCAATATTTCGTCCCCTAGCAAGCTTCGTTTTTTGCAGATTGTAAAATTGAATGATACAAATTGGTACAAAGTTCCGCAAAAAGAATGAATCATCTTTATGTCAAAGGCATTATCAGACTGCCTAAGTGAGTATATTTGAGATATGGCTGTCCAGATTCCTTAAAGTAGCTAAAAAAATCCTAGCATTCTATTGGCCTCAAATTTAGTGCTATGATTACCTGATTTAGGTAGCATTAATTGTTTACAGCAAATGTGATTGACTAAATATTTCTTTTGAATGTGCTAGGGGTATACAGTGTTTCTAATGACTGTATTAGCACTACAACAGGTAAAACACCGCAACCCTGGTACTAATGGGACTTGATGTTTGATATCTAGTTCGTATTTCATAGCTTACAGACACAGACCATTTACATGTAATATTATCTGCAATCACAATAAATCTATATAGGTAGTATGAAGATCACTTTAAAAAATGAATCTTTCATTTATCTGAGGCAATTCATTTGAAGCAACTTTATACAATTCTTTCAATATCTTAAAAAATGTTTACCTGAAATGCAGAGAAAACTGTGCTTTCTACATCAGAGTCCGAAGTCTCTGAGGCTCTGATATCATATTTTTGGTTCTTTCTAATCCTTTTGTTTTGAGATATAATATTGCCATTTGCAGCTTAAATATTTGGTAGTTTTGGTTTTCTCCGCTTTTATTTTGGCAATATTAAAATCCCCTAAAAAAAAAGAATAGTTCAGCTACAGCAAATATCCAAACTGCAACTTTCCAAATTGTCACAATCCTAAATACTACTGAAGATATGATTGCTAACCATTGCCACCCAATGAACATACGTTATATATTTCCTAGTATTCATCAGGATCATCCTAATAATCTATTAACTTCAAAATTTTCATTCCTCTACCAACATTCTACTACATCTTCTTTTATGAAGACAATAATTACTCAAATCACCATTCTTTGGCCTTCATTTTCAACCCTACAACCGGAACATATACTATAATGCTTCAAGTAAAAATGAAAATTACTCTTATTCATTCATCTCAAGAAAACCATATTTGGACGCTCTTTGTTTTACAATCAAATAATGCACGTTCAGCACAAAATGACCAGATAAATTAAAAGTGAAACAGATTCTTTCAACGTTGGCATGAAATTAGTTTATAAAATACTTTGTGATTATCGTTTACACTTGATATGTTTTGGTAATTATTTCAAGTGACATCTCAGTAACATAGTGCTGAAACATGATTTTTCATAATGTAAATATCTACCTACGTCAAAAGCTACATATTAAAAATACTCATACACTGTTAATTCCAAGAAAAATAAGATGAATGTGATCAACAGTTATAGTGGAGAAAATATTTCGACAAAAATGAATTTACACATTCAACAGGTTCTGTTAGAAATGACTTAATTTAAGTTTAAGTATTACCCATAAGCCCTATGCTTCCAAAATTACTCATTTTGATAATTTTGTTGTATACCAACATAAAGGAGTCTGCAAGTATGGAACAAATAATGAACCAATAACTTTTGAAATTGTTTCGCTTTATACTGTGAGGAATTACATCCTGGTACAATAGGTTCACCA